GAGTAAGACCTTCACTGAGCGAGAAATCGTAAAAAGCATCTCCTTCAATAGTTGACGGTTTAGTGGGACACCACTTAGCTGAATGAGCATTAAAGTCGCCAATAATTACGATAGAATCATATTGACGATGTGTACTAGAACGAACTTTATGAAGAACACACGAAAGGTGTTCATTGAACTTTACATGATCAACCCAGTCTGGACGGTAACATACGGCTAATAAACAGGTTTTACTCTTGTGAAGTATTAAGTCTAAAAATAGCGTTTCAAAGTCTTGATCTTCATAAGGAATGAGTCGTTTTACTTCAGGAATGAGTCGTTTTACTTTAATATGACAATCGAAAAGAAATTTCTTCTTCTTTTATTTGAATGATAAAAGAAGAAGAAGAAAAAGACTCGAATAAAAGAGAAATCGAAAACTCTACTTTTTTAAAAAGTAGGAGTAAAAAGAAAATAGGGGTGATTATAGGTTATTGCCACGTGCTACGCTTGTTCATTCAGCTTCGCAGTAATGGTTAGATAATACGGACTTAATCCAGCGAATCGTGTTTAATACGCCGCTTACCTGAACGAAAATTTTCAGCACTTTCCTGTGCGGGACTTTTCTTGCAAGAATGGCAGACAGTCTGAGGTGTCTGCCTGTTGTTTAAAACAAAGTTCGACTTTGCTATTTGGAACACAAAGTTTATTTTACTTTAATGAAAACGTTGATAAAAATTTCATCAAAACTGAAAACTTGCGGTTCACACAGCTTGTCCATGATCTACATTTAAATCTATCCAACTGTAACAGTAGCTATTTCTGTTGTTCCACAACAATCATAATTTGATAACCAAAAACTAATAACATAAATATCGCCAACAACTGTTGGAAATGTTTGTTGTATTTTATCGCCGTAATCAGCACAACGATCATAGTAATAATATGATCCTGTATGTGCGTAAGAACTACCAGATTTTGCTGTACCAGAATACCAATTACATGAACCACTATAGGTCCATCCTGTTAAATCACCGGTTTCAAAACCCCCGTTAGTAATTAATTGTGTCATACCATGATAAACTGTAATATCATCTAATTCCCAACCGCCAGGATCATGACGAAAGAAAAAACTTAATGTTGCGGATGTATTAGTGGCCGTCCAGAGAAAAGAGTAACCTTTATACGAAGAATAGCCCCATATGTCCGATGAAGGATTGTTAACAGATAACAGTCGACCGTCTGTATTCAAAACAGATGGAACAGGTGGAACAGGAGTTACCGATACTGCCGTTAATTAAAAGAGAAATAAACAGTTTTTTGCAAGTTTTCGAGGAGCGTTTCTACATCAGAATTTTTGGTCTCATGCTAAATCTCAACGGACAAAGGTGAATGATATCTGCTTCCAGACAAAATCAACGTAAGACGCAACGCTGAGACTTTTCGGAGAATATGGGGCCGGAGAGTGGCAAGATGGGCGATTTTTTTCCAACTTGTCCTCTAAGGAACGGGTTCGTCTCTGGCTTTGGATAAAAGTTTTCAGACACAAAAAAATGGGAAAAAACATTCCTTTTCTACAGGATGTTGTAAAACCTTTACGCCCCCTAGTTCGACGTTAAGGTCAAATGATTTCACTAAGTATTTTATACCAAATTGAAGCCCGTAAAAAACTGCATCGATGAGTGCAATTAGACCAAATACTGCCTATTACATTATTAAAAGATCTTACACTATATATCAAAATGTCATAGATCCTATAATGTCGAATATATGAAAAAACGATCATACCCATTTCTCCACATATACCTTCCTTCTTGATGCATTGTAGCTTATATCACTTTGAAGTGTTTTTAATGTGTATTCTTTTAGAGTAGAGTATTATCTACTCTAAATAGCTTTCGTTCTGTTCGACTACAAACACGTATACGCACTGGATAATATGTTTATTCTTAATTAGGCATGCACCGATTTCGATTAATCGAAACTCGATTATTCGAAATCGAACATAATCGAACTTCGATTATTCGAAATCGAAAATATTCGAACCTTCGATTATTCGAAATCGAAAATATTCAATTAAATGAAAACACTATTTCAATCTACTCTATGAGCCGATAAAATATAGAAAGAAAAGCCAAAGAAGAAATATAAAACCGTTAAAATATCGCCATCAATACACTCTTTAAATAGTCTCACTTCTTAATAAATTTTCTTATGCATTCATATCGAACGTTAAATCGCTAAGGTTCGGTAAAACCGGTAAAACGGTAACGGTAACCTTTACGTTGCATGCCTAATCAAGATCCATCTTAACTTCATTTTACACTTTACACAAATAATCTGAACTCTCACGTCGCTCTAGTATTTTGCCAGAAACAGAAAAAAGGTTCGATTATTTTCGATTTCGAATAATCGAATTTCGATTATTCGAATTTTAATCGAAATCGGTGCATGCCTATTCTTAATTGAAAAAGGTTCAGTACTCATGATTAACAATGAAGGGAAGAAACAGAGAGAAGGAAGAGTAGGAGACGATGCGTGCATATGTGCACGTACAGATAAGAGAAGAATGGAGAAAAAAGAGAATGAATAACAAGCGGTACTGTTTCAAGTTTTTTTCATTCCTTTCCTTTTCTAAGCGTCTGTTGTTCGTGAAGATAACTTTTTCCATTACGTTAGAAATTGAATTAAAATATTAATTAATTACGGCAAGTCTGTGACATCTGAATTTAGCGAATCAAAATGGCTACTGTTCTTCATGATACAGAAGAACAACGATTTGTGGACAGAATTCGTTGTATCACATACCGTGAGATACGCGATGAAATGATTGCAAGAACAGGAGACTCATTTATCAGTCGCCAATGGATGTCCGAAAAGCTCCATCGTGGCGAAGATTGGGTACGACGAACTTGGAACAAAACAGTCGAGGAATGCTATACACAATTTGGAGGAGGTCGGCTTCAGGAGAGCAAAAATATTATTGCTTCTGCGAGTGGTATCAGGAGCAATCAACATTCATTTAATTTTAAACAAGTAGACACACTAGCTTTAGAAACAAACTGGAGACGAAGAATCATCAAAGAAAGTCTCTTTACATATGAAATGCAAAATAAAGCTTTAAACGATGTAAAATTTAAATTAAATATATTCTTATAATTTATAGCTTTTTTCTCTCGTTTCTTCTAATTATCATTGTAATATTTAAATAGATTGTAACCTCACTTTTCTATATTCCTGATGATGATAAGAGATTCTTATCGAAAGCTTGAATAAAATTATGATTTTTGCTTAAATCTATCATGTTCTTCGTGGCAGTTTTATACTCAATAATTTACAAATACACATATTGAAAATCGGAAATGGCTGGCAAATTTTGTTGCTGATTGGACTGAGGAGGATTTTCTACATATCGCGCCCTCGGATGGATTTTATATTTATGTGATAAGAAAACCAAACCACCAAAATGATAGAATTTGGGCAAAAAGTATCGAAGACATCAGCGGTGATGAAAGGTACCGTGAAATGGTTCGGAATGCAAGATGCATCGGAATTTTTGTCATGTTCACTGCAAAGAAACTTCTTTGGGTCCTGAAGGAAGATGGACAGTCTTGGGATGGCGCCTATTTTCGTGAGATTATTCTTCAGAAACATGTGATTCCATTTCTTCGCAACCCAATCAATGCTCTTGACACAAACGAAGTCATATTTCTTCTCAATAAGGTACCCTGGCAACACTCCTGACATGAATCCGGCAGAAGACATTGGTGCAATTATCTAAGATAGAGTTGAAGAACTGATGACAAGAGAAGATCGTCGAGATAGATACAATTATGATATTCTCAAAACTAACCTGGAGAATACACTCAAGGACCTTGAAGATGGCACAGATATTTTTATTGATTTGCTGTGTTCCATGAGGAAAAGATTTGATGCTCTCGAAGCTGCCAGGGGGGTAATACCAGGTTCTAAAATTTTCTCATCAAACTTAATTTAAAGCAATTTATATCTTCAATAAATTGGCAAGCTACAAGCTCTATAAGCTACAATTTAAGTCGGTGAGCAGTATGACAGTCCTTTCATATATTCGACATTATAGGATCTATAACATTTTGATATATAGTGTAAGATCTTTTAATAATGTAATAGGCAGTATTTGGTCTAATTGCACTCATCGATGCAGTTTTTTACGGGCTTCAATTTGGTATAAAATACTTAGTGAAATCATTTGACTTTAACGTCGAACCAGGGGGGCATAAAGATTTTGCAACACCCTGCAACTGAAAAAGACCTACCCGTAGTTGTTGACTTTGTCGTCGTTGTGGTTGTTGGTTTCGTCGTGGTATTAGTTGTTATCGTAGTTGCTAAAACAATAGTTAAACTTTTTATTCCCTGTGATAAAACAGTTACACTACTATGATCCGTCCCAAAGGCATGTGATTGCTTCTGGAAAAGTCAACCATACTGACAGATAGCGATCTGCGATTTTCAGTAATCGAAAGTAGACATTTGATGCTAACGTCTTCCACAAGCAAAACTTACTCTTGGAAAGACTCGAAAAGCCCAGTTTTCCAAAGATCTTTGGAAAACTAGGGTGGGTTTCGGAAACTCACCCTAGACCCTGATGTTCCAAAACCTAAATTAGGTGAGATAACCCATTTTTGCCTATTTCTGGGTAAAGTCAAAAAATTCATAATCCAGTCAAGATCCATCCAGATAATGTCAGAATATCAATATGTACGCTATTTTACCTGCTCTATATGTTTTTTTGCTTGAGAATAGTAAAAAGCATTATTATATTTTGGAAGATTTCTAGAAAACCGTTTCAAAAGCCAAAGTATTTTCTGTTAGCTTGCAAGGCTTTTATCGAGGCACCGTATCGAACAGGTAAAACTGGGCTTTTCGAGTCTTTCCAAGAGTAAGTTTTGCTTGTGGAAGACGTTAGCATCAAATGTCTACTTTCGATTACTGAAAATCGCAGATCGCTATCTGTCAGTATGGTTGACTTGTCCAAAAACAATCACACGTCTTATATTTTGGGACGGATAATACATATTTGGTTCGCCTACGTATAGTAGTTGGTGTGGTCGTCTTGGTTGTGCTAGTGACGGTCGTTGTAGTTGATGTCGGCGTTGTTGTTGTTGAAGTAGTGGTAGTACTGGTAGTAGTTGTTGTACTAGTTGTTGTGCTAGTTGTGGTGGTAGTACTGGTAGTAGTTGGTGTACTAGTTGTGGAGGTAGTGCTGGTAGTAGTTGGTGTGCTAGTTGTGGTGGTAGTACTGGTAGTAGTTGTTGTACTAGTTGTGGTGGTAGTACTAGTTGTGGTGGTAGTACTGGTAGTAGTTGTTATACTAGTTGTGGTGGTAGTGCTGGTAGTAGTTGTTGTACTAGTTGTTGTGCTAGTTGTGGTGGTAGTGCTGATAGTAGTTGGTGTGCTAGTTGTGGTGGTAGTGCTGGTAGTAGTTGTTGTACTAGTTGTGGTGGTAGTGCTGGTAATAGTTGGTGTACTAGTTGTGATGGTGGCTGTGATTGTTGTAGCTACTAGAAAAATCGAAAAAAACATTTGACTTGTACGACTGTTCTTTGATTAACTTTATGTGTCTAGAGTAAAAGAGCTGGTCTGCTACTGACTTACCTGTACATACGAAATATTTTTGCACACGATAATTAGTTGAATCACCTACATAAAGGTTTCTTTGTACATCAAATGCTATACCATTTGGAAAATCTAATGTTGTTAATGTACTACCGGGTATACCACTTGTACCAGCAATTACAGTACCATTTATTGCACCAACTTGCCATTGCAATATACGATGATTAGATACATCTGTTATATATAAATATCCATAGATATCACTGATAACATTACGTGGGCCATTAAGTTGATTTAAGGCTGTACCCTGTCCATTTCCACCGGCTACCGTTGTACCACTTGTAGCACCAAGAATCCATTTCTGTACACGATTATTACCCTCATCAGCAACATATAGAATTGATGGATTTTGTTGATCTATCCAAATTCCTTGTGGATTATTAAACTGATTTGCTGCATTCCCTTGACCATTATTGCCAGCCACGACTATTCCTGTTGTACTGCCAACAATCCATTTCATAATACGATTGTTATAATAATCTGAATAATATATTGTACCGTTTTTATCAACGTACATACCATAACACACGTTTATTTGGTTGGATGCCGCACCAGCACCATTACCTACAGCAAAGTTAGCAAAAAAAGATCCAGAGGTATCGGAAAAAAATAAAAAATAGCATCTCTTTACCTCCGGCTACTGTTATACCAGTCGTCGAATTATAATAAAATTTTTGTATACGATTGTTATTAACATCTGATACGTATAATGTATCATTTGGACCAATAAATATAGCACGTGGCCAGCTAAAGCCAGTGGCAACAGTCATACCCGTTGCTGCACCTAGAAAACAGAATTCATACATACTTATAAAATTTCGCATTTAGAGCTAGAAACCAAAGAATAACCAACGCTCTATGGAACTGCATTATGAAACAAAAGCGAATATTAAGGACCGCAGCGTTTTCTACCATTAGTGCATATATTTTGATGTTTTAAAGGACCAACCCTTCTTTCGCATTATATTGCATTAAAACTAAAAGCACAATTATCGTTTAGCCTTTTGCGACTGATTTCAGGAAATGTATTTTTTAGTTTTATTTAAACTATTAAAATGTAGTTTTTCCTTAAAACATTGAAAATTTTTTTATAACTTTCGCCACTTTCTTTTCTTTAAAACATACGTTTGGTTTGATTTTGAGATGGCGCATCTGAGACATCAAGTTTAGTGTAAATTATGACAAACTTTAGCTGACTAAAAATTCCAATGTCTGTAGCAGTAAAAGCAGCAGATATCTAATACGCTTCTTCACTGTTCGGAAGTCAGTTTAAAAATGCTACCTGATGCATATCGTTGAATACGTTGATTATCCGTATCTGCTATGTACAGGTTTTGGTAACTGTCAATAGCTACATCATTTACGTATGAAAGTTGAGTCGAAGTAACACCATTCATTCCAGTTACACCTGCAATAGTTATGCCAGTCGAGTTCCATGATAAACCCGCAGTACATGAAGTACTTGACACTAAATGGACGAAGCATCAATAATAAAGACGTTTGAGTATGCAACTCATACTAATAATTGACCTGTCGTTATCGCAGCTGCTGATGATGTTATTGTCGTTGGTGTGGTTGTGGGAATCGTAACAGGTGTAGTGGATGCTGTGGTTGTTGCAATGTTACTAGTTGTAGTTGGAAGAGTAGCAGCTGATGATGTTGTGGTTGTCATACTACTTGTGGCTGTCGTCGCCACCACTGCGGTTGACACGGTTGTCGGCGTTGTAGTTGTAATAATAGTAACGACTGTAGTGAATGGCAGTGTGCTAATCACTGTCGTTAACACGGATGTTTGAGAAGTTGAAAGAGTGACAGTTAACGATGTTGCGGTATTTGTTGATGCCGCTGTACTAGTGACAGTGCCCGTCGTTACAAGTACTGTTGCCGTTGTAGTCGGAAGAGTGAATTTTGTAGTTGGCAATGCTGAAGCCGCATCAGTATTTAAGCCTGTGGTACTACTGACCATCGGTGTCGAGGATGTTGCTGTCGGCGCTGAAGAGATATTCATAGATGCTGGTGTTCCATCACTGTTCCCTGAAGCAACTGTTACTACAGAAAATGCTGGTGAGGTTGAAACTGCAACATTTGCACTCGCAAATGTCGCTTCGCTACCAGTGCTACCCAAATCCGGCACACCCGTTATTGACATCGTAATATTTCGCACAATAGGTATCAAACTACTGTCGCTACTACTCAGAGCATTCACGGTCGACGGCGCCGATGCTCCCGCAGCTGAAAGGGTGCCATTTGTATACATCGACGATGCCGTACTATCTTTGTTCGCTATATCTAACGTCGTTATTGCGGGTGTTTGAGAGTTCGACGTTACGGCTGTATCACTCTTAACGCTCCTATTTTCAGGTGCAGAACCTGCTGCGCTTCCGGTGGCCCACGCATTGCTCGTAAATACTGCAAAAGTTGATGTTGGGAGAGTAATGGTTGCACCGATAGGTGCCACGGTGCCGTCCGTATCAGTGGTGACATTCACGCTAGGTTGCACAGACGTTGCTGCAGCTGAAAGGGTGACACTTGTATACATCGATGATGCTGTACTGTCGTTGTTGCCTATATCTGCCGTCGCTATTGTGGGTGTTTGAGAGTTCGCCGTATCATCGCTATCGCTCGCATTCTCTGCTGTCGAAGGTGCGGTGCTTCCGGCGGCCCACACAGTGCCGGTCAATACTGAAAAGTTTGACGTTGAGATAGAACTGGTAGGACTGATAGATGTCTGAGTGCTGTCGGTACCAGCCGTGACAATCACGCTAGGTTGCACATATGTTGCTGCAGCTGAGAGGGTGACATTTGCATACATCGATGATGCTGTACTATCGTTGCTGCCTATATCTGCCGTCGTTATTGTGGGTGTTTGAGAGTTCGTGGTTACGGGTGTATCATCGCTATCGCTCGTATTGCCAGGTGTCGAAGCTGATGCGCTTCCGGTGGCCCACGCATTGCTGGTAAATACTACAAAGGTTGATGTTGGGAGAGTACTGGTAGGACTGATAGGCGTCTGAGTGCTGTCGGTACCAGCGGTGACCATCACGCTAGGTTGCACAGATGTTGCTGCAGCTGAAAAGGTGACGTTTGAATACCTCGATGATGTTGTACTATCTTTGTTGCCTATATCTGCCGTCGTTATTGTGGGTGTTTGAGAATTCGTGGTTGTCGGTGTATCATTGCCATCGCTTGTGTTGTCGAGTGCCGAAGGTGCGGTGCTTCCGGCGGCCCACACAGTGCCGGTCAATACTACAAAGGTTGATGTTGGGAGAGTACTGGTAGGACTGATAGGTGTCTGAGTGCTGTCGGTACCAGCCGTGACAATCACGCTAGGTTGCACATATGTTGCTGCACCTGAGAGGGTGACATTTGCATACATCGGTGATGCTGTACTATCGTTGTTGCCTATATCTGCCGTCATTATTGTGGGTGTTTGAGAGTTCGTCCTTGTGGGTGTATCATTGACATCGCTTGTATTGTCGGGTGCCCAACGTGCGGTGCTTCCGGCGACCCATACAGTGCTGCTGAATGCTGAAAATTTTGATGTTGAGATAGTACTTGTTGGACTCATACGTGTTTGAGTGCTGTCGATACCAGTGGTGACATTCACGCTAGGTTGCACAGATGTTGCTGCGGCTGAAAGGGTGACATCTGTATACATCGATGATGCTGTAGTACTTTTGTTGTCTATATCTGATATGGTTGCAGCGAGTGTTTGAGAGTTCGTCGTTACGAGTGTATCAGTGCTATCGCTCGTATTGTCAGGTGCCCAAGCGGCGGTGCTTGCGGCGGGCCACGCAGTGCTGGTCAGTACTGGAAAGTTTGATGTTGGCATAGTACCGGTAGGACTCATAGATGTCTGAGTGCTGTCGGTACCAATGGTGGCATTCACGCTAGGTTCTACAAATGTTGCTGCAGCTGAGAGGGTGACATTTGTATACATCGGTGATGCTGTACTATCGTTGTTGCCTATATCCGATATGGTTATTGCGATTGTTTGAGAGTTCGTCGTCACGGGCATACCACTGCTATCGCTCGTATTGTCAGGTGCCGAAGCTGTGGGGCTTCCCGCGGCCCACACAGTGCTGGTCAGTACTGAAACGTTTGACGTAGAGATAGTACCGGTAGGGCTAATAGATGTCTGAGTGCTCGCGGTACCAGCGGTGACGACATTATCTGCCGTCGTTATTGTGAGTGTTTCAGAGTTTGTCGTTATGGGAGTATCATTGATATCGCTCCTATTGTCGGGTGCCGAAGGCGCGGTGCTTCCGGCGGCCCACACAGTGCCGGTGAATACTGAAAAGTTTGATGTTGAGATAGTACTGGTTGGACTCATAGGGGTCTGATTGACATTTGAAGACAGCGATGATGCTGTACCGTCTTTCTTGCCTATATCTGCCGCCGTTAATGTCGGTGCTTGAGAGTTCGTGGTATCATTGCTATCGCTCGTATTGTCAGGTGCCGACGCTGCGGTGCTTCCGGCGGCCCCGACAGTGCTGGTCAACACGAACAAGTTTGATGTTGACATAGTACCGATACGTGTCTGAGTGCTGTCGGTACCAGCGGTGACATTCACGCTATGTTGCACAGATGTTGCTGCAGTGGAAGGGGTGACATTGGAATACATCGATGATGCTGAACTGTCTTGATTGCCTACATCTGCCGTGGTTATTGTGGGTGTCTGGGAGTTCGTGGTTGCGAGTGCATCATTGCTATCGCTCGCATTGTCAGGTGTCGAAGCCGCTGCGCTTCCGGTAGCCCACGCATTGCTGGTAAATACTGCAAAGGTTGATGTTGGGAGAGTACTGGTTGGACCAATACGTGTCTGAGTGCTGTCAGTACCGGTGGTGACATTCACGCTATGTTGCACAGATGTTGCTGCAGCTGAGAGGGTGACATTTGTATACACCGGTGATGCTGTACTATCGTTGTTGCGTATATCTGCCGTCGTTATTGTGGGTGTTTGAGAGTTCGTGGTTGTCGGTGTATCATTGATATCGCTGGTATTGTCGGGTGCCGAACGTGCGGTGCTTCCGGCGGCCCACACAGTGCTAATGAATGCTGAAAAGTTTGATGTTGAGATAGTACCGGTTGGACTCACAGGTGTCTGATTGACATTTGAAGACAGCGATGATGCCGTACTGTCTTTGTTGCCTATACCTGATATGGTTATAGCGAGTGTTTGAGAGTTCGTCGTTATGGGTGTACCATTTCCATCGCTCGTATTGTCAGGTGCCGAAGCTGCGGCGCTTCCGCTGGCCCACGGATTGCTCGTGAATACCGAAAAGGTTGATGTTGGGAGAGTAATGGTTGGACCGATAGGCCTCAGAGTGCTGGTAATATCAGTGGTGACGTTCAAGCTAGGTTGCACAGATGCTGCTGCAGCGGGAGGGGTGATATTTGAATACATCGATGATGTTGTACTACCTTTGTTGCCAATATCTGCCGTGGTTATTGGGAGTGTTTGAGAGTTCGTCGTTACGAGTGTATCAGTGCTATCGCTCGTATTGTCAGGTGCCGAAGCGGCGGTGTTTGCGGAGATACACGCAGTGCTGGTCAGTACTGAAAAGTTTGATGTTGGCATAGTACCTGGAGGACTCACAGATGTCTGAGTGCCGTCGGTACCCGTGGTGAGATTCACGCTAGGTTGCACAGATGTTGCTGCAGCTGAGAGGGTGACATTTGTATACATGGATGATGCGGTACTATCTTTGTTGCCTATATCTGATATGGTTATAGCGAGTGTTTGAGAGTTCGTAGTTGCGCGTGTATCATTGCTATCGCTCGTTTTGTCAGGTGTCGAAGCTGCTGCGCTTCCGGTGGCCCACGCATTGCTGGTAAATACTGCAAAGGTTGACGTTGGGAGGGTACCGGTTGGACCAATAGGTGTCTGAGTGCTGTCGGTACCGGTGGTGACATTCACGCTAGGTTGCACAGGTGTTGCTGCAGCCGAGAGGGTGACATTTGTATACATCGGTGATGCTGTACTATCGTTGTTGCCTAGGTCTGCCGTCGTTATTATGGGTGTTTGAGAGTTCGTCGTTGTGGGTGTATCATTGATATCGCTTGTATTGTCGTGTGTCGAACGTGCGGTGCTGCCGGCAGCCCACACAGTGCTGGTGAATGTCGAAAAGTTTGATGTTGAGATAGTACTTGTTGGACTTATAGGTGTCTCATTGACATTTGAAGACAGCGATAATGCTGTACTGTCTTTGTTGCCTATATCTGCCGTCGTTATTGTGGGTGTTTCAGAGTTCGTGGTTGCGAGTGGATCATTGCTATCGCTGGTTTTGTCAGGTATCGAAGGTGCTGCGCCTCCGGTGGCCCACGCATTGCTGGTAAATACTGCAAAGGTTGATGTTGGGAGAGTACTGGTTGGACCCATAGGTGTCTGAGTGCTGTCAGTACCGGTGGTGACATTCACGCTAGGTTGCACAGATGTTGCTGCGGCTGAAAGGGTGACATTTGTATACATCGGTGATGCTGTACTATCGTTGTTGCGTATATCTGCCGTCGTTATTGTGGGTGGTTGAGAGTTCGTGGTAGTAGGTGTATCATTGATATCGCTCCTATTGTCGGGTGCCGAAGGCGCGGTGCTTCCGGCGGCCCACACAGTGCCGGTGAATACTGAAAAGTTTGATGTTGAGATAGTACTTGTTGGAGTCATAGGTGTCTGATTGACATTTGAAGACAGCGATGATGCTGTACTGTCTTTGTTGCCTATATCTGCCGTAGTTATTGTGGGTGTTTGAGAGTTCGTGCTATCATTGATATCGCTCGTATTGTCAGGTGCCGACGCAGCTGTGCTTCCGGCGGCCCCGACAGTGCTGGTCAACACGAACAAGTTTGATGTTGACACAGTACTGATACGGGTCTGAGTGCTGTCGGTACCATTCGCGGTGACATTCACGCTATGTTGCACAGATGTTGCTGCAGTGGAAGGGGTGACATTGGAATACATCGATGATGCTGCACTGTCTTGATTGCCTACATCTGCCGTCGTTATTGTGGGTGTTTGGGAGTTCGTCGTTACGAGTGTATCAGTGCTATCGCTCGTATTGTCAGGTGCCGAAGCGGCGGTGCTTGCGGAGATCCACGCAGTGCTGGTCAGTACTGAAAAGTTTGATGTTGGCATAGTACCGGGAGGACTCACAGATGTCGTGCTTGCAAGTGCATCATTGCTATCGCTCGCATTGTCAGGTGTCGAAGCTGCTGCGCTTCCGGTGGCCCACGCATTGCTGGTAAATACTGCAAATGTTGGGAGAGTACTGGTAGGACTGATAAGTGTCTGAGTGCTGTCGGCACCAGCGGTGACATTCACGCTAGGTTGCACAGATGTTGCTGCAGCGGAAGGGGTGACATTTGTATACATCGATGATGCTGTACTATCGTTGTTGCCTACATCTGCCGTTGTTATTGGGAGTGTTTGGGAGTTCGTCGTTACGAGTGTATCAGTGCTATCGCTCGTATTGTCAGGTGCCGAAGCGGCGGTGCTTGCGGAGATCCACGCAGTGCTGGTCAGTACTGAAAAGTTTGATGTTGGCATAGTACCGGGAGGACTCACAGATGTCGTGCTTGCAAGTGCATCATTGCTATCGCTCGCATTGTCAGGTGTCGAAGCTGCTGCGCTTCCGGTGGCCCACGCATTGCTGGTAAATACTGCAAATGTTGGGAGAGTACTGGTAGGACTGATAAGTGTCTGAGTGCTGTCGGCACCAGCGGTGACATTCACGCTAGGTTGCACAGATGTTGCTGCAGCGGAAGGGGTGACATTTGTATACATCGATGATGCTGTACTATCGTTGTTGCCTACATCTGCCGTTGTTATTGGGAGTGTTTGGGAGTTCGTCGTTACGAGTGTATCAGTGCTATCGCTCGTATTGTCAGGTGCCGAAGCGGCGGTGCTTGCGGAGATCCACGCAGTGCCGGTCAGTACTGAAAAGTTTGATGTTGGCATAGTACCGGGAGGACTCACAGATGTCTGAGTGCCGTCGGTACCCGCGGTCGGATTCACGCTAGGTTGCACAGATGTTGCTGCAGCTGAGAGGGTGACATTTGTATACATGGATGATGCGGTACTATTTTTGTTGCCTATATCTGATATGCTTATAGCGAGTGTTTGAGAGTTCGCCGTTGCGCGTGTATCATTGCTATGGCTCGAATTGTCATCATTGCTGTGGCCCGAAGCTGCTGTGCTTCCGGTGGCCCACACGTTGCTCGTGAATACCGAAAAGGTTGATGTTGGGAGAGTAATCGTTGGACCGATAGGCGTCAGAGTGCTGTCGGTACCAGCGGCGGCATTCACGCTAGGTTGCACAGATGTTGCTGCAGCTGAAAGGGTGACATTTGCATACATCGGTGCTGCTGTACTATCGTTGTTGCTTATATCTGCCGTCGTTATTGTGGGTGTTTGAGAGTTCGTGGTTGCGAGGTCATCATTGCTATCGCTCGTTTTGTCAGGTGTCGAAGGTGCTGCGCTTCCGGTGGCCCACGCATTGCTGCTAAATGCTGGAAAGGTTGATGTTGGGAGAGTACTGGTAGGATTGATAAGTGTCTGAGTGCCGTCGGTACCAACGGTGGCAGTCACGCTACGTTGCACAAATGTTGCTGCAGCTGAGAGGGTGACATTTGTATACATCGGTGATGCTGTACTGTCTTTGTTGCCTATATCTGCCGTCGTTCTTGTGGGTGTTTGAGAGTTCGTCGTTGTGGGTGTATCATCGATATCGCTCGTATTGTCGGGTGCCGAAGGTGCGGTGCTTCCGGCGGCCCATACAGTGCTGGTGAATGCTGAAAGGTTTGATGTTGTGGTAGTACTTGCTGGACTTACAGGTGTCTGATTGACATTTGAAGACAGCGATGATGCTGTACTGTCTTTGTTGCCTATATCTGCCGTCGTTAATGTGGGTGCTTGAGAGTTCGTGCTATCATTGATATCGCTCATATTGTCGGGTGCCGAGGGTGCGGTGCTTCGGGCGGCCCACACGATGCTTGCGGAGATCCACGCAGTGCTGGTCAGTACTGAAAAATTTGATGTTGGCATAGCACCGGGTGGACCCACAGATGTATGAGTGCGGTCGGTACCCGTGGTGAGATTCACGCTAGGTTGCACAGATGTTGCTGCAGCTGAAAGGGTGACATTTGAATACATCGAGGATGCTGTACTGTCTTTGTTGCCTATATCTGCGGTCGTTATTGTGGCTGTTTGAGAGTTCGTCGTTGCGCGTGTATCATTGCTATCGCTCGTATTGTAAGGTGCGGAAGATGCTACGCTTCCGGTGGCCCACGCATTGCTCGTGAATACCGAAAAGGTTGATGTTGGGAGAGTAATGGTTGGACCGATAGGGGTCAGAGTGCTGTCGGTTCCAGTGGTGACATTCACGCTAGGTGGCACAGATGTTGCTGCAGCTGAAAGGGTAACATTTGAATACATCGATGATGCTGTACTGTCTTTGTTGCCTATATCTGATATGGTTATAGCCAGTGTTTGAGAGTTCGTCGTCTCGCGTGTATCATTGCTATCGCTCGAATTGTCAGGTGCCGAAGCTGCTGTGCTTCCGGTGGCCCACGCATTGCTGCTAAATGCTGCAAAGGATGATGTTGGGAGAGTACTGGTAGGACTGATAAGTGTCTGAGTGCTGTCAGTACCGGTGGTGACATTCACGCTAGGTTGCACAGATGTTGCTGCAGCTGAGAGGGTGACATTCGTATATATCGGCGATGCTGTACTATCGTTGTTGCCTATATCTGCCGTCGTTATTGTGGGTGTTTGAGAGTTCGTCGTTGCGGGTGTATCATTGCTATTGCTCGTATTGTCATGGGTCGACGCTGCTGCGCTTGGGAGAGTAATGGTTGGACCGATACGCGTCAGAGTGCTGTCGGTACCAGTGGTGACATTCACGCTAGGTTGCACAGATGTTGCTGCAGCTGAGAGGGTGACATTTGTATACATCGGTGATGCTGTACTATCGTTGTTGCGTATATCTGCCGTCGTTATTGTGGGTGGTTGAGAGTTCGTGGTAGTAGGTGTATCATTGCTATCGCTCGAATTGTCAGGTGCCGAAGCTGCTGTGCTTCCGGTGGCCCACGCATTGCTGCTAAATGCTGCAAAGGTTGATGTTAGGAGAGTAATGGTTGGACGGATAGGCGTCAGAGTGCTGTCGGTTCCAGTGGTGACATTCACGCTAGGTGGCACAGATGTTGCTGCAGCTGAAAGGGTAACATTTGAATACATCGATGATGCTGTACTGTCTTTGTTGCCTATATCTGCCGTCGTTATTGTGGGTGTTTGAGAGTTCGTCGTTGCGCGTGTATCGTTGCTATCGCTCGTATTGTCAGGTGCAGAAGCTGCTGCGCTTTTGGTGGCCCACGCATTGCTCGTGAATACCGAAAAGGTTGATGTTGGGAGAGTAATGGTTGGACCGATAGGCGTCGAAGTGCTGTCGGTACCAACGGTGGCATTCACGCTAGGTTGCACAGATGTTGCTGCAGCTGATAGGGTAACATTTGAATACATCGATGATGCTGTACTGTCTTTGTTGCCTATATCTGCCGTCGTTATTGTGGGTGTTTGGGAGTTCGTCGTTGCGGGTGTATCATTGCTATCGCTCGTATTGTCAGGTGTCGACGCTGCTGCGCTTGGGAGAGTGATGGTTGGACCGATAGGCGTCAGAGTGCTGTCGGTACCAACGATGGCATTCACGCTAGGTTGCACAGATGTTGCTGCAGCTGAAAGGGTGACATTTGAATACGTCGATGATGCGGTACTATCTTTGTTGCCTATATCTGATATGGTTATAGCGAGTGTTTGAGAGTTCGTCGTTGCGCGTGTATCATTGCTATCGCTCGAATTGTCAGGTGCGGAAGCTGCTGCGCTTCCGGTGGTCCACGCATTGTTCGTGAATACCGAAAAGGTTGATGTTGGGAGAGTAATGGTTGGACCGATAGGGGTCAGAGTGCTGTCAGTACCGGTGGTGACATTCACGCTAGGTTGCACAGATGTTGCTGCAGCTGAGAGGGTAACATTTGAATACATCGATGATGCTGTACTGTCTTTGTTGCCTGTATCTGCCGTCGTTGTTGTGGGTGTTTGAGTGTTCATCGTGATCGGTGCATAATTGATATCGCTCGTACTGCCGGGTGTCGTTATCGCTAATGTTCTGGACTTTGGTGGTGTGGCATTTGTGCTGTTAGATTCTGTTGTACCGAATATAACGCCTATACTGGTGGTTGATATCGCGGGCGTCGTTGAAGGTAACGAAGCGTTGGTGATCGTTGCTGTTGCAGCGTTTGGTATGATGTTTGTGGACGCTGATGGAAATAAGGAACTACTTGTTGCTATAACGAAACGAAAATGCCTTAAGGGTTTGAATGTGGTCTTTTTATCTTGTGACAGATTCGTTGTCTGATATGCCACTCCAGTTCCAGCTTCTACTGTATGTGTGCTTGCCACTGTCAAGGGAGCGATCTAAACCCGGCCAGAGGAACTTACATATTAGAGATGTAATCGACTTTGTTAATGCCAGAGGTAACACCAGAGTCGATGATACTGTTATGGCGGGCGATGATGATGAAGCATTAAGAGGAGCGGATGTTAATGCAATAGGAAAAGAGAGTGCCGATGTCACTGTGCTTGTTGTCGTTGATCCCATATTTGTTGTTATTATGGCTGAAACTGAAGCTAAAATGCACATAAAGGTTACACAAATGTAGAGTGTAAAAACATGGTATATAGTGTGTAAGTTGTATCACAGATACAAATCTGTAAGCCTTGTTTTCTTGTCTGTTGGTCAGTGAACAAATGTTATATATGGGGAAAATCCCAGAACATGGAGAATAACGCGCAAACGTATATATATGCATGTTTATAAGAAGAACAGCAGAAGTGATGATATGATCTAACCGAAGGTGAAGGTCATAACAGGTCTGATTTTTGCCATATTTTCTGCCTCGTTTCTGCTCTTTTTTCTTCTAAGCCATGCTGATTTTGAGTGTCTTTTTTTGAGCTTTTCCTGATTTTCATGTTTTAGATTTGATATTCCTGGTTGCGAAGTTTAAAAAATTCGAATTTCTACAACGAAAGGTCGTGGGCAGCTGGACGCTAATATGCACTCTGTTATACTCAAAACGGAAAAATTTTTCTAAAAAGTTAAGTTTAATCTCTAACTAAGCTTGAAATGAAGTGCATCATGTTCCCGAAGAGAAAGCCAGGTAAAACATGGTGAAATTAGCGTCCGAACTGTCTCAAGAAACGCTATTTAGAGAGGAATTTCTTGCTGCCAAAACTTGTTTGTTTTCATGGTATTGTAGTAGTAGTAGTAGTAGTAGTAATTTTATTTAGTCCTTGATCTTAAAACTGACTTGGTGATGATGAAAGTTTAAAAGAAACTTTGTCTAGATCATACCGAACAAAGAGAAAAATATAACATAAAAAAAACAAAAAGGAAAATATAACAATAAAACATATATGGCTTAATTAAAGAAAAGAGACACTTCTTCAAGAAAAAAGATGTTTCGTCAATGCACGCCTAAAAGCTCGGTCGTTAAATGCGGCCATGACCTCCC